ACACATGTGCTAGTAGAAAACTGACCTGTGGAACAATAGGGAAACAACACGTGGTCCAATAAGAACCTAAAACGTGCAAGAACCAGAGATGGCCACGTTGTGCAATAAGAAGGTGACACGTACTCGAACCATCTCCAATGCAACCGGCTATAGCATGTACACATGGGCTATAACATGTACACGTGGAAAGCATCTCCAACGGAAGCGCCCACCAGTGTGGCAGTCCCCTGCCATGCATGGCCAAATAGTTCTATGATGATCTGTTTTTGTCATAGATCAAGGCATTTCTATGATGATTTTGCCAGATTCGTCATAGATATGCAAAAGTGACACGACTCCTATGACGAACCGGTTTTCATCATAAAACTGAAATTATGATGAATTTGGCTCCTTCAGTGATGAAATCTATTCATCATAGAAGTGGATATTCCTAGTAGTGAATGATGACTTGTTTGTCAAGGACTAATGGATCAAGAGGCACTCTTTTTGTTTCTTCACAAGCGTGAGCTTTGGGTTGTGGCTTCGCATTTTCTATTTCTTCTTTTTCTTCTTCTTCAGCAATTATGTGAACATTCTTCTGCCCTGGAGTATATTCCTTTTCAATATTTCTTGCCTCAGTTTGGTCTCCATGGACTGTGATTACTCCATTTATTGCTAGCATTTTCATGCATAAATAGGAGTAGCTCATGACTACTTCGAATGCATTTAAGGTTCCTCTCCTGAAGAGTGCATTGTATGGATAATACATATCAACCACATAAAATGCTATTTGCACTGTTCTTGCATTGCTCATTGTTTTGAATGATACTGGTAAGACTATTCTCCCAATTGAGTGTATCTTTTTTCCGTTGAAGCCATAAAGTGGGTGTTCAGCTCTCCCTAATATTTTGCGATCAATTTTCATGGCATTTATTGTTGATGTAAATATAATGTCTGTGGAGCTGCGACCATCAACTAATATTTTTGAGACTGTCCATCCATCAATGTTGGCTCCGATTACCATTGCATCTGTATGTGGGTAATCTTTCAACTGGAGGTTTTCTTCAGAAAATGTGATTGGCAAATGGGACCATCTTGTTTTCTTGTATGGACCTTCCATTGAAATTGAATTTACTCTTTGGAAGTAATTTCTTCTTTGATTATTATTTTCATGTTCCATGTTATTTCCTTCTGTGATTGTCAATATTCTCCTCTTCTTGGGATGATTGCATTATTGTTCGCTGTCGAAGCTGATGGAGAATTGTTTTCTTGCTTAGCTTGACTACTTTGAGGGTTGTTATTTGCGACCGAAGCCTCAGGTTGTGCCGATTGGACATTGGATTATTGAGGTTGATTTTGCCTCCATTGACTTTGCATTGGGTGATACATTGCTAAAGGTTCATAGCTGTATGCAGGTGGAGGTGTTGGAATTATTGCTTGGGCATGCCCATAATGTATTGGGTAATATGTTTGATGAAAACTTTACTGTTCTTGCCTCACATGATTGACAACTTTTGATTGGCTTGGTGCCCTGTTTTCTTCTTGTGCTTCTTCAATGCTTTTCTTTACTTTTGGACACATCTTGGATGTATGTCTAGCCCCTTTACCATGAATAATGCAATACATATCTTCGGGTTTTAAAGGTGCTCTTCCTCTTCCTCTTCCTCCCTTCCTCTTGGGCTAAAGCCTACTCTTTCAAATGTTCTTTCATTGAATTGACTTCGCTGGTTGTACTGATTTTGGAGAGCATAATCACTTTCAGCTGTTGAGTTGTTATCACTCTTGATTTGATTGACATGGTTGTGCAGTGTAAATGGTCTTCGCTAATAGTTGTTTGGTCTTGGAGGATGGAAGTTGTTGTTTTATTTAATTTGAACTCTGAAGCTGTTTTCTTCCTCAATTCTTTTCATGTAATCATCATCTGACTTGCAATATTTTTGAATGACTTCGTAAAGCTCAGCAACTGTACTTGGTTTCTCTCGGGCAAGATGGGAAGCACATTGGCCTACTCAAAGCCCTTTGATTGCCGCTATTATTATCACTTCATCTGGGATATTTGGAATTTGTTCCTTCATTTGGATGAATCTTTTGAAATGCTGGCTCAAGGGCTCTTTGATTTGTTGCTTGCAATTGAATAGATCTATGTCTGTGAGGCCAGCTGGCTGGAATCCTTGGAAGTCAACAAGTAAATTTGCTTTAAGTTAATCCCATGAATTTACTGATTTTGCTTTTAGCAAAGAGTACCATTGTTGGGCTAGTCCTTTAACTACCATGACAAGAGATTTTGCTAATATAGTTTCATCACCGCCTCTAGAAATTACTGTGGCTTCAAAACTCATCAGAAATTGTCTTGGGTCAGATTGGCCATCAAATGTTGGTATCATGTTGAATTTGTATCCCAAGGGCCATTGTGCAAGCTGCAAGTTTATATTGATAAGGGAGAGCTTGTGTCAATTGATATAAATGACTTTTGGCAGTTCTTTTCTTGAGAAACTTTGGTTGCTGAATTTGGGTCTTCTAAATGTATGGCTTCATGGCTTGCACTTTGAAGTTGTTCATTTAGTTCACAAAGTGTGGCTTCGACTTCTTCAATTCTTTGTTTGAGAGACTTTTCTCTTGTTCTTGGGTGGCATTCTTCAAGTTCTTTTTGCTTTCTCAACACTTATTCTTCTAATTCTTTGAGTCTTTGTTCTTCGGCTTCGCTTGCCCTTAAAGAGTTTGGGTCTTGGGGTGCATCTTTTTCAAGACTTTGATCTTGAACTGTTGGTGGTTCATCTTCGGTTACCCTAGTGGTAGCTTTCTTGTTGTTCCTAGCCATTGGCTTCGCGTGGTCGTGGGAGTACGTCTTTGAGCACACAAATGATGGGCGTCAGATGTTGGGTAAAGAAATCATGCAAGCATCAAAGTTTGAACACAACTCAAAGTTGTATTCATTTCATGATCGTATTGTACATGTCAGAGGGGGTATTCATAGGGGCCCTAGTCTTCATACATTCTATAAAATGATCATTTTACCCCTAACTTAAATAGTTATAACCATTTTCGACTACAAGGGTGAAGTGGTCTTTTTCTCCTTCTAAGCCTTCATTCTTCAACTTTTGTTCATCAATCTTCTTGGTGTCTTCGTCTTTAGGACTTAGTCGATTTTTGCTTTGGTCTTCTCCTGTCTTCAAAATGTTAGGCGAAGTCAAATCTTTGTCTTCGCCTAATCTTGCCTTCTTCTTTTCTTTAGCGAAGATGAGATCTCTTCAGCGAAGACGGAATCTTTCTGGCGAAGTCAAATTTCCATCTTCGCTTTGTTTCTTTTCCTGCAAGTAAACTCTGTTATGGAAGTCACAATTTCAACACCGAAGTTTCAGGGGCTGAGTTTTCTTGGCGAAGTTAAATCCCCAACACCCCCTTCAATAATTAGTTAAAAAGAAAAAGAAAATTAAATGAAATGAAAAGAAAAGAGTTAATATTGAGTGTTACAAATTTTATTCTCCCCACCCCACAAGTGGAACCCCTTTGTTTTTGTGTCTTCGTCCATGCTTTTTTCCTCCAAAGCCCAACCATCTGATTGATAGATACTGTAATTTCGCCATTCAACCGGAATCAATCGTGAAGTTGCTGGACAACGGTTCATTGGAACGAACCTTCTTCAGGAGGAGAATGAAGAGGGGAAATGATCTACGGTCACTACGTCAGATATCATTTGTAGGGGCGGCTCATGGGCATTTGTAGGGACGGTTTGGCCAGCCGCCCCTACCAAAGCGTGGCTACAAATCGCCAATTTGTAGAGGCGGTTCCTAGACCGTCCCTACAAATCGATTTGTAGAGGCAGCTGGTGTTATCAGCCGCCCCTACAAATCGATTTGTAGGGGTGGCTGGATATTGAGCTGCCTCTACAAATCAATTTCCAGAAATCACGAAAAAGAAAGGCAAAAAAATAGCAAATTTTTTTAATCTGAGGAGGTCCCCAACGGCAGCCACACACCCACTCTATGGTTACAGCATTTTTTCACGATTTTTGCACACTTTGCGTCGGCCAGGATTCGAACCCGCAACTTCTCCCTCGTGCGCAAACTACTCTACCACTGCACCTCACGTTCACTTGTGTCTACGATCCATTTTGGTTCCCCACATATTATACAAAACTGAGCATAAATTGATTGTTTGAGACCCTAAACTAATTCAAATGAAAAGGTTGTCAACTACAAAGTTTTATAACATTTCGAGATCTACAACTTTTATTTTGGTAGTTTCTCCATCCGATGCCACTTATAAAATTTGAATTTTAAATTTGAGAAATTTGAACGTAGTTTTCCATGACAAGATGATTTTAAATGAGAAAGTTATCAACAACAAAGTTTCATAACTTTTCAAGATCTACAACTTTTATTTTTACTGTTTGTCTATCCGAGGTCGTTTAAAAAATTAAAATTTCAAATTTTTGAAAATTCAAACATAGTTTTCCTTGACAAGATGATTTCAAATCAAAAAGTTGTCAACTACAAAGTTTCATAACTTTTCGAGATCTACAACTTTCATTTTGGTTGTTTCTCCATCCGAGGTCGTTTACAATATTTGAATTTTAGTGCTTAATTTTTAATACTCGGCATCTATTTGTAGGGGCGGTTCAATATTGAGCCGCCCCTATAAATCCGATTTGTAGGGACGGCTGGATATAGAGCCGCCCATACAAATCGGGTCATTTGTAGGGGCGGCTGATAACACCGGCCGTCCCTATAAATCCATTTGTAAGGACGGCTCATTTGACAACCATTCGTAGGGGCGGCTCAATATAGAGCCGCCTCTACAAAGAAAGAGAGATGTTGCCATAAATCGTTTTTGTAGTAGTGGGTTTAGTAGGCGGACGGTGACTCGCGCTTTCACTCTCCCCTGTCCGTGGAGCCCTCGATCAAGCTTTCACTCTAGCTGTATATATCTACCCGTCACAGCACTCGATCCCGTGGAAAAAAAAGAACTTGGAACACGCGCAGCATGATGATCCAACACCCAGGAGGCCAGGACCCCAAATCATGTCTATGCAAGTAGATGGCGACAAGCACGTGAGTGTGTTGTAGTTGAAAGATCATGTCGTCGACCGGTTTTAATTTCCTGACGATACATATTCAGACGACATAACCTTAGTTGCTGGATTGGATGCGATCGAGCTCTCTCTTTTCAGAAATCAATCATTTAGACATGCATGTGTACTCTCGATCTCGATGCTATATTTATCGCCTTGGATCTGCCTAGCTGGCCGAAAAGGATGAAAGATTTTCTATCTTGTTGGGTATGCATGTATACCACCCACGTACGCCAATAATCAGTGTCGTCCTTCGCGGCTTCGCCATGCACATCAATGAAACGAGAACAATCATTTTTTTTAATGAAATACGAGAACAATCATTTAGGAGGAGGAGGACGACTGCTGTTGCCTGCCTGCCCCGAAAACAGGTGCATGCCTGGATGCAATGCAGCCACACCCACTGCACAGGGTCGGGCACAAGGCCATCACCCGGAGATGGTCCAAGCAGAGCTAGTGCATGCATGCCACACTACGTGAAAAACGGTTTGTAGCAACGGAATAAATTTTTTATAGGGGCGGCTGGTGATGGAGCTGCCCCACAGTGGCATGCTCGGAAGCCCAGAGACTAGCCGCCCCTACAAATGGCACAGTAGGGGCGCCTGGTAATACGAGCTGCCCCTACAAATGCGTCGATTTATAGGGACGACAGGTATACCAGCCGCCACTGTTGTGTCTATTTATAGGGGCGGCTGAATCACCGGCCGCCCCTAAAAATGCTCTTACGAGCAGCTAACCTGGGCCTAGGCCACGCCGGCCTTTCTGCTCACCCGAGAGGCGCTACAGTGTACTTGCACGCATATAAAATAGAGAGTGCACACTGGCTAGGGTTTGGCACCCGCACTTGCTGCCCCCGGCCTCCTTCCGCACGCGCTCTCTCTCCCTCTGACACCAGCGCCGCTGGCCTCCATGCTCCTCTGTCCGTGAGCTGCAGCGGCGTAGATCGAGGGAACCGCGTCGGACAGCCAGGCCTAGGAGGCGGTGGCTGCACGGACTAGGTAGGCCGCGGGCGGTGGCAGCGTCTGCGCCGATCCGGGAGACTAGGCCGCGTGGATCTGGCCAGAGACCTTGGGCGGCAGCGGTGGCTGTGCGGACTCTGGCCACGAGCCAGCGGCGGAGGACGCGGGTGGCGGCGAACGTGTGGCTCGGGACACGAGACTGCGGTGGAACCTCGCAGGAAGCCGTAGGTGGCGGCGGCCGCGCGGGCTTGGATCCGGAGACGGTACCGCAACCCTAACTGCCAAGCTCGCCATCGGCGCTGCTGCTATTGGTCAGCAGTACAAGAGGACGTCTCCGCATCGCCCCTGGAGATCCCGCCATCGAGGGCTCACCCTGACCGGACGTGGAGAGATATGCGTTTGTTCATGCATCTTGATTGGTTAATCTACTAATTGGAGATTTGAGATGGCTGGGTAAGGAATCTGAACGCTCTGTGCATAGTATGCAGTTTCCACTATCATTTTTGCTAATCGGAATTGTTGTATTTGACATAAGTAACTTTGCCACCATTGGTTGGTTGGTAACCTACTAACCTGTGGTGCAGTTGCATGATCTGAACTTCTTTAAAGGCTTATTACAGTAACCCTTTATAATCTAGAGCTGCGCTATTGCATTGAACTTCTGAATTTTGATTTTGCAGTTTATACTTACGAAAAATGCTTGTTTGCATCGCAGGCTTGCCTAAGGGAGATCCATGCTTCTATCCTAAGGAAGCATTTACATCGACTGGAGCATCCTGGTGCTGTTGAACAGGATGTGGAATCTGAGAAAGAAGATGATAATAAACTGGAGGATGAGATGCATGAGGATGAAGGTTTACCTTCTTTTCTGATTACTCAATCAACTATGTTTCCAAGATAATGAAGTGATTTCTGATGTATGTTCTATTTGTAGATGATCAGCGATATTCGCCTGAGCCTATACATCAGCACACAGAAAACCAATTTGAAGAGGAAGATGGATCCTTCTCTCCACAGCTAATGCATGGCAATGAAGATGAAGATGCAATTGATCCTGAAGAGGACAAAGCTGAGCTGGTAGAGTCCTGTGTTTCTATTTCTAATAGTATTAACAGAAACATGATTGGAACTGTACTAGTTATTTGCTGCAGTGCAGTTAACTGAGTAGTTTAATTGTCAAGTACATATTGTTAGTAACTAGACTCCATATTATGCAACAAAAGAGGCTAACTAACAATATTAGGACGAAAAGTTCTACTGATATTTTTTCGTTAAGAAGACAACCTTTCAAGCTTCTGCAGGCCTTCCTGCATGTCTTACCCTAAGAGGGGGGCATTGATTCATTTAGATCTTACTTTTGATGGCAATGCTCCTTATGGTGACTTAAACTTGAGGGCTTTCTAGAGTTCATATACAAACACAATGGGTGAAGATTTTTCTTAAGAACATCAAGTTATTAGGGTTTATTTTATGAGTTGATTAGATAATTAGAATAATGTTGGCAACTCATACTTAATGCTTTTAATCATCTCTAGGACCGAAAACATGAAGCTGTAGTTTTGGAGCATCAAAGGAAAGTTCAGGAAGCCATGAAAGCAAAGGCAAGTGTACCTGATGAGATGGAGATGAAGGCCATAAAAACGATGGGTGCTATGGAGGAAGGAGATGTAGTATTTAGTGTTGATCCAGAAGGATCGATGGTTATCTTGCTATAATCTGGACCATAGATAACACACCTTAAGCTACACCAAAATTTTCAAATAATCTATTGACTCATGTAATTATAATTGAGTATATTTTGACAGTTTAATATAGGGGTAATGCCATATTTGAGTTCGATACCATGGGTGGTAACAAGTTTTACACACAAGAAGCGTGATTTAGCAACTTTGGTGCATCCTACCACATATAAACTCAGCTGGTTTCTGATGGCATATGCTTGTTCAATATGCTCGCAGGTGTACTGGTGGCACGACAAGTATGGACCAAGAAAGCCCAAGTACTTCAATCGGGTGCACACTGGATATGAATGGAGTAAATACAACCAGACTCATTATGACCATGATAACCCACCGCCTAAAATTGTTCAAGGCTACAAGTTCAATATATTTTACCCTGATCTTGTGGATAAATCAAAAGCACCAAAGTACAGTATAGGGAAAGATGGAAGATCATCAGATTTGAATTTTATATATATATATATATATATATATATATATATATATATGTTCTGGTCGAATTTAAATTATAAATTTGATTTTTTTTGCGGAAAAATGTACTGTAGGGGCGGTTTAGACTGAACCGCCTCTACAAATAGGTATTATAGAGACGGCGGGTACTACAGCCGTCCCTACAAATCGATTTGTAGGGGCCGTCTCTGCAAATCGATTTGTAAGGGCGGTCTGGGAACCGCCCCTATAAATACATGATTTGTAGAGACGGTATGGTAGAGGCGGCTGACCGAGCCTTCTCTACAAATGATCTACAACCGCCCCCACAAATGTTTATTATAGTAGTGCCACCAGGTGGTTGGCCGCCGGGATTTGGTCTCCTCCCGCATGGCCATGGCATGTGATCTGATGTGAACAGCTGCTGGCTTTTTGGTGGTAGCTTATTCCGGCTGCACTACGGATCGATGTGAGGTCCATCCGGCCGCCTACATGCAGAGACACATACTGATAGAGATCTAGCAAGCTAGCGGCCGTACCTGTGAGGAGTTGTGGGGAAGGGGAAGGATGCTCCGCAGACTGCAGCCAGCCACATGCTGTTGCTTGGCCGCTAGCAAGTCATCGATGGAGCTTGGTTCGTTCGCGGCCCTGGGTGTTGTGCATGCAGCTCTCAGCTCCGCAAGCGGGAGAAGAAAAAGATGTGGCCACGATTTTGGGGATCCTTTTCGTGGCCAGGCACGCCTCTGTTGATGTGGATAAGTATCCAAGCAAGGGAACAAAGCAGTACGTAGTGGGCACTGCACCAGGGCGATGCATGTTGCACTCTATTCATTCACTCATGCGCCAATGCGCCACATATATAGTTATCTATATGGTTTACCAACACAACAGAAGACTTTTGAGATCACATATATGCATAGCTAGCTAGTTAACACACAAATTAACACATACGTGTGATCTAATTTTATATATATGTGCTTTGGGTAATTACCTAGGCCAGTGTGAGATCTGACTAACTCAAATGCTAGCTAGTTATATATAGATATTTTTGTTTCCACGAATGAGATGGATTTGCTGTTTCCAAAAAGAATGAATACTAAAATAAAATGCAGAGATGGACAATGCGATCAAGCACAGCCGTGCAGGCCAACTAGAAAATATCCGATCCCCAGATCATTTTGTTGGTATGAGAATCGGGAATATATCGCACACGTACGTAAACTGTCCATGCTGCTCACTATACACAGTCACAAAATTGCCAATTGTTTGCCATCACCATCATACATAATAAAAAGTACTGTTGTTTTTTAAAACAAGGTCGCGTTTGTGTCACGTTGTTCATCTTTTATACTAGCTAGTATGTTGTTTATTACTATCAAGAGAAGTTCGTGTAACTTACAAGATTATGACATTTTCAATGTCCGACTGTAATGTAAATCCCTCCTTCACGGATAGCTGAAGAGCTAATAATTGGAATGGAAATCCGCATGATCACCCGGAGATATTGCATGGCAACAGAATTCTCAGTGACGTCAGTAGATTTGATAAAACTATTCTGCAACAGGTGATTTTAATTAATTTCTATGGCGACCTACGACGACGTTGACAAAAAAGAAGTGTAAAAAAATTAAGGGTTTTCTCTTTCCCTTGCACTGTCGTACTATGATACTATGATTCTAAGTGTTGCTGGGCACAGATGCAAACTAATAATTTGCCTCTAAACCTGACAAATTAATTAATAATGAATGTTGCTACACTACCTACTTGTTTGTGTGGCTGTCCTATATGATGCCCCCCGCATCTAACTTGGATGTGACATGAATCAGATGATTGCTTCTCAAGTACAGTAGGCCACCAGAAGGTGCATATTTGTGTTGCTAAGTACAAACACGTAGACAAAATGTGGGTGAGCAAAGATATTAATTACTCAGTTTGCTGTTGCTCCTCCCGCTCTCTATTCGCTGTGCCCTGGTGGCCAGGTCAAAAAAAAACGAAGAGGGGTACTTTTTTCTTCGCAAATGCTTGCACACTGGCCATCCGTCCCGTCCGCACACTGGGCCTCTGCGTAGATAGGACCAACAGGCGTGCTCACCTCTACGTTTCTTCTCCGCCCGCCCCATTCCTCCCCGCCACGCCCCCTTCCCCCACCGCGGCTTGTCCCCCGCGTGCGTCGTGCCCTTCCCTAGTTCCCCCCACCGCACCGCACCCCATCAACGGCCGCACCGCGCCCCAACCCCAGCAAGCGGATGGCGCTGGACGACTGCAGCTGAGCAGTAGCGGGGCCGCGCCGACAGGCGCAAGCCTAGGCCGCGAGCAGGCGCTGGAGAATGGCAGGAGGAGCGATGGGCCACGCTGATGGGCACGAGCGCACGGAGCGACGTCCCCCTGACCCAAGCTTGCTGGCAACCGCAGTTCCCCACCAGGTAGACCGTGGCCGCCAGCGATGCTATATGTTTCAAGTGTTTCAGGCGTTTCAGGCTTATGTTTCAAGTGTTTCAGGCGTTTCAGGCTTATGTTTCAAGTGTTCCAGGCGTTTCAGGCTTATGTTTCAAGTGTTTCATCTGGATGTTACAAAAGTATATCTGAGATGTTGCATATGTTGCAATGACAATATACGCATGTCGCAAGCATATGGTTTCAAGTGTTTCAGGTGTTTCGGACGTTCATCTAGATGTTGCAAAAGTAGATCTGGATGTTGCATATACATGCATGTTGCAGGAGTACTTTTCATGTGTTTCATACATATGTTAAGTGTTTCATCTGGATGTTACATATGTTTTGCAATGGCACACACGTGTTCTTCAAGTGTTTCAGCTGTTTCGGACGTATGTTGCAAGTGTTTCATCTAGGTGCTGCAAAAATAGATCTAGGGTTGCACATGTTGTAACGGGACCCACCTATTACAGCAGTCTGCTGCAACTGCTGGGGCGCTATGAATGCGCGCGGTATGCAGAGGGGGGTGGAGGCAGGGGCGTGGCGTGGGCGGTCCCAAGAGCGTGAAAATGGGAGTTGCTAGGGCGCCGTGCATGCACCGGGCACGGGAAGCCGAGGGGAATGAGCATGCTAGCGCTTGAAGTAGAGGGGGCATAGGTGTCCGAATGGGAGGCGCAGTGGTTCCCGCGTGTGCGTGACGCGCGTGAAATGGAGTAGCAACACCGGCGTTGTCCATCGCTTCGGATTGCAGGTCCAATCTTTGATAGAATAGAATTGTACTAAAACCACTATTAACATCTGCATAGTTAAGATGCTCCCTGTTCAAAAGGGTGTATATATATGGTAGAAACCTTAATAATTTGTTTCTAATTGCATTGATCCCCGGGGGTATATATATAGGTGCATATATGAAGAGATTTGGAGTACAAGACAAGTTGTACTAGGCCTAATAATCAATATCATATCTCTAGGATTCTATCTTTCTCTCTAGAGTTATATGTTTCCAATTATCTTTAACCATACATATATGTTCTTCTAACATTCCCGCTCAATCATAGAAGAAGACGAGGAGACAATTCTAAACCATGAGATCCAATTTTGGCGAACCTCCTTCCTAGGCGGTAGTGGCTAGTGGACACCCCCGCATCCATGGCCCACTGTTGCTGGCCATCCCAACACCTTAACCCACAACCAAAATCTACAAAACAAAATCTCTATTGCTTGTTGTACTTATCAGTATTCCCATCTAAGAATAGTAGTTGAAGATTCAATTACGACGAACCTCTACGCGGTGGCAGTCGGGGCGATGGAGTGTAAAAAAACAGCGCCCCATGATAGGGAGTAGCTGTCGTCCATGTATCTTTTTGCGTGGATGCCTCTATTTTTCCTAGGGTGAATATATAGAGAATGGTTGGAAAAAGTTTTTTTCATCCTACCAAACAAATTAAGATTAACAGTGACTTTACCAAACCATTGAAGATGCTCTTACCTTCTAACAATTGCATTGCGATGTTTCATAGTGTAGACGCAATTGAGGTGGTTTTAGAAAAGCTAGAAAACTGGCTTGTGAGGAAATAAACTATAAAAGCTAAAAGGAATAACGAGAGTAGCTTTTCTGTGTTTTGGTCTACCGAGAAACTAAAATTTATTGCACATGTCAATAGAGGAAAGAAACAAGAAATAAGAAGAGTAGCTTTTAAACAAAAAAAACCTAAAAGCTATGGCCCCATTTGGTTCGGCTTTTCCACCTGCTTGTGTTTTTGCAAAAGCCAACCAAAGGGGTGAAAAGCCACAGCTGCTTTTACTCTAGTACAAAACCCACAACACCTTTCCCCCTGGCACTGGTTATGAAAATGAATCATTTCCCCCTTCTGTTTTGTTCGCGTCGTGAGGAAACCCGATGGCGCGGGCCGCGATGAGCTCCTCCACCCGCCCGACGGGCAACATCCATTCACTTGACACGGCCCCAATGTGCCTCACCGGTGGCGGCGGGCGAGCAGCACCGACCCCGTCGGGGCCTCCCTCCCTCCTCTGGCGTTCCTGCCTCGCTCCTCCCCTCTCCCCACCCTGCTCCCGGCGAGCACCTCCGCCCCCCCATGCCAGCACGGGCCTTGCTCCCGGCAAGCACCTCCGCCCCCACATGAGCACCTCCGTCCCCACGCGAGCACGTCCTCCAGCGCGCAGGCCATCCCCGGCGGCATGCGCAGCCTGTGCCCCATCATTGGCACAAGGGAGGAGTTAGAGAGAGATTGACATGTGGGGGCGTGTATGACATGTGGGGCTGTTGCCGGCTGCTTTTTCAAAAGCTACAACTGGTCAACCAAAAGGCTCTGCGCTTCTTCGAAGCTCATAAGCCACACCTGCTTATCTTTTTTTTTTTGAAGGAACCACACCTGCTTATCTTAAGTCCCACAGCTCACCAGAACTTTTAAAAGTCACGGCCCAACCCAAACAGAGCGTATAGCTAAAACAAACGAGTCCTAAAACAAACCAGAGAAATGGAGACCAAATGCGGGATAGATTAGCGCGGCACCTAACGTGGGGGTGGGGTCTGGGGTGCCACATCCCACAACCCACGTCAGGATTGGAGCTGTGCTGTGGATTCTCCCCTAATCATCGTCAGCACTCAGCAGGTGCGAGGCGAAGCACCGGCAAGGCAGAGCCGCAGATACGGTGGCGGCGCCCAACAGCAGGTACCAGTACTGGGGCCTGTTTAGATTGCTTTAAAGTTCCAAGTTTTTTCACTCTCTTTTCATCACATCAATTTTTGGACGTATGCATAGAGCATTAAATATAGATAAAAAATAACTAATTGCATAGTTTGGTTGTAAATCACGAGACGAATCTTTTGAGCCTAGTTAGTTCATGATCGGATAAAGTTTGTCAAATACAAACGAAACATACTACAGTGTCAGATTGCAAAAATTTGCAATCTAAACAAGACCCTGGTACTAGTACTGCTAGTGCTAGCACACAGGCCGGTTGGTTACTCGAAATGGTAAGGCGCGGCTTGGTACGTCGTCCTCTCTAGGAGTAGTCTGGTCCGCACCGCCACCGCACATTACATGCCGCCGCTGCGCTGCGGTGCTCTGCAAGGCTGCAGCAGCAGCTATGCCAGCAGGTGTCGTGTCTCCCCCAAATCATTCGCCCCCGGGCGCCCGGAGCGGACCGGACCCCTACCACACCATAGCATCAGGCATCAGGCATCAGGCATCAGGCATCAGTCCAGTCCATCTCTCTTCCGCTTTCCCGTCGCTCTCGCGCGTCCCTGTCTGCTGGAATCCACTTCGATTCAAGCCACACCGCAATGCTGCTGCGGCGTCTGCCTGCTCGACGCCACCCCGTTGGCTCGATCGTT